CTGTTCCCGAAACCATGGTGTCATGATATTCAGTAATTTATTTACATATTTTAACCTTTGGGCCTTTCTCGCCCTTATTTTATTTTTACGATTTCCCCTATGGGCAAAATGTCAGTGTATTCATCTGCACACAATCATGTTAAATATGAATTTGTATCTTACCACGGCAGGTAGGTGGAGTGAGTGAATTTACATTTACGCCGCACTCAGCAATATTCCAGCTATATGGCGGCGGGCTGTGAATAATCGAGTCTGAACCACACAATCCAGTGATCAACAGCATGAGCATCCATCTACGCAATTGGGATATTATGACGTGTGTCAACAAGTAAACAAACCTGACCACCCGATCTCGTTACTCGCCTCTTACGGCAAGTATGGGTTACTGAAGATCAATCAAACCCGGATCTTCACGGTAAGTTATATATGTAACATAAACGTTACAGCTTCAGTCGGTTTATATGGGGTAGGTATATATACGTTTTTTCAAATAATGACAATACACATTATCAAAGGCTGGAAATTCTAATTCTGGATTCTGGGAGTGTCAAACTCCTATATCCATACGTTCCTGTCTCCAGGAACCAATAGGTGTGAAAAATGCAGGTGTTTTTTTTCCCCGTCAAGTCAACATTCAATAATCCTCTGTATATGCTGTGACTGGCATATAACTTAAATGTAAAGCCAAATCGAATATTTTGAATATGACATGTGTTTGAAATCCCACAGTAACACATGGTCCTTTAAATAATATTATTAGCTTACTTTCCTTTATATGAAACCAAATTATCGCGGCTTGAATCGTAGTTTGTTTGTTTACCACCGCACTCAGCAATTCTCCAGTTCTGAGGTGGTCTGTAAATATCGATTCTGGACCAGTGATTGGCATCATGATCATCGATCTACGCAAATGGAATGCGAGGACATGCATCAGTTGTCAGTCTAACGTCGTTAGTCGCCTGAGATGCCATGTCGACAAGCATGAAGACCAACTCTTACCCAGATCATAACAGGGCTCTGGTTACATTTATAGAGGCAAAATAGAATGCTGGGAAATCCAGAGGCGCTGAGTATTATATCCTCCATGCATCGTTAACGAAATATCCAAAGCAAATCGTAGGGATGAGTCGGTCTTGTGATGGAACATATGAAACATATACTACGAATATTATATTAATATTTATGTTATCTTGAACAAACTCTTCATACGCCAACTCTGAAGAGTAACCTCACTTACATCTCGACTTTTTTGCTAAGCAACAAAACCACCTCCATTATCTAGGCTATTTCCAGACATTAACGAAAAGGTTAGTCACATGTGTACCTGTATCAACATGAATAGTAAGTACTGGTTCAGATCTTGAAACTAGAAACCTATTTGGAAGGTGTCAGGAAGCTGGTATATACATATATGTATGAAGTCCGCTTATGGAATGTAGATAAGACGCTAGTGTGGTAAAGGTCACAAACCGCCCGTTCCCTCTGTGTTACAGATAACCACTGTGAGATATAAATGACAAAGCGGAAGGTCAGTGGGTCGATGCCAGGCAGCGCAGAAAGACGTAAATTATGCTATTTAATGTTACCCTGTCGGCATTAAAGAAAAAGGGAGGAATGATTCCAGCGTCAGTAACTGAGTCGAACGATCAAGTCTGTCTTATTCCGCAACAATTACCAAAGGGTAGTAACTCTAAATTACTAACTACCAAGGAGTACCACTAATAATCAAGTCACAATGATAAAATGGTCTTGTACGACCGCTTCCTTGGCTGCCACTGACAACACTTTCCCTATTAAGATCTTGTGCCCCGTAATATTTAAAGCCACAAGTGCTGCAGGATCCGCTCAACGTTTTGAGAACACCTGATTTCGTTATATTTGACAGTAATTCATAAACATCTGCTCAGGATGTAGTCGGAATCATACAATACTGATTTCACCAGAGATTAATACAATTATAGAAAGTCTTTAATAGCTTATATTTTTCGTAAAACATTTTTTAAAGAAATATACGCGATGATATATTTATTGAGAGTCGGCGAATACGGATAATTATTATTTAGCATGCTTCAGTTTTCTAATAAGTAGGCTTCGATTCGATTTTGTATCAAGTTTCAAGAAACTATTGATTTAATGGGGGTTGGCTTCCACATGGATGTAACACAAGCAGCGTCTGATGTGTCTTGATTAAAACAACAAGTCAGGTGTTACAGGTGTATCGCGACTTGCGTCAGCTGGAAGCACGGAGGCTGGTGACGGGGTAAACTGACACTGGCTATCTCGATGTGGACCATGTACAAAGTGTCTCCGCTTACTACATTGGGCGTATCTAGCTTGGAATCGATCGTTCATATTATGTCAATATTTTGATGGCAAAACAAATTCGTTCCTGACAAAAATCCTCAGTTTTTCTCTCCGTGTTCGTTGGATATGTTCGACTTCTGGACGGAAATGTGTTTTGGTAAAATAACAATCTGTTATGTTTCTCACAAATGTCACTTTCCAATGAGTGAGTGAGGGGAATAGGGTTTAACACCGGGTTCAACAGAAGTGGGCTTCACACGTGTTTATGATCGACAGTCAAATAAATGTTACTAGCTACCAGTAGACCACATGGACCATCGTGCAGTGTGTTATTACATACGGGCCACATAGACGATACATAAAATATATACTCTCCCCAAAAAGAAACGCATCATGAAAATAGCAATTTCATGTAGCAATGAATTAAAACGTGATTCATTTTACAAAAGGATTTGCTCTGTTTATGAGTCCTATGGTAGATAGATAGATAATTGAAAGTTTGATAGGTGTTCGGGCAACTGGGCCCATTTACACCTTGCCCATCATAAAGGTTTGCTACGTTTATACACGTTTACAAAGAAGTAAAGCTGCCACACGCTTTAATGGAAGCAAGAATGACATTCTGAACATCGTTGCGAGTGATATTACTTGAAAACAACAGTCCAGTCAAGGAGATGTCAATATTAAGCGCTGTCAAAGATCCCACCATCGCCTGACGATGAGTTACATATTTTTGACAATGCAGTAAAAAATGAGCCACAGCATCTAGCCGATTACACACTGTGCAATTTGCAGGAATATCATTATTAATAATGTGTAGATATGCACCAGGACCACAATGCCCAAGACGAAGTCTGGTTAAAAGAACCTCTTCTCTTCGATTGTTTCTGGATAATTTTGCTTTAGCTATAAAAGGCTCAATGCCATAAAGATGGCGTCCTTTTAAGGATGAGGTCCATCTCTGTTGCCATTTCGCTTGAGCATGGGTCTTACTGACGGTGCATAATTCTACAGGAGAGGGCAATATTGTCTCATCCTGTTCTGAGACATCAAAATCTAATGCAGCTTTTGCCAAATGATCAGCTTTTTCATTTCCAAATATTCCAACATGAGCTGGTATCCATGAAAACTCAACATCTAAAAGATCTTTACTTAATTCATGAAAAAGATCGAGGATAATATTGATCAAATCTAAACATGTTGTTTTCCCCTATCTTACAGAGTCCTATGGTGTTTATGTTTTGAAACATCACAACAAAACGCACCATCCGTAAAATACCCGTACTTAACAGCATGATTTTCAATTTCGGCGTGTAGTGTCACAGAATACACAATTCACATGCAATGCACGTGAAAGTTGGGGATCAGATAGTCTCAATGATGGGTATAAAAGGTTGATCGCTGTCTGTCGATTATTCACTGTATTTTGAATATTGTTGACGAACGCAAAATGCCACGTCTAAGTGAAGCCAACCGTCATATCGCCATTGGTTTGCTTGAAGCTGGCCAGTCTCAACGTGCAGTTGTCCGACGCATGAATGTTCACCAAAGCACCATTTCACGGCTCTGGGAGAGATATCGCCAGCAGAATGCGCTAGCAGATGGCCCTCGTAGTGGGCGACCTGGAGCGACCACTGCGGCGCAGGATTGCTACATCCGGGTACATCACCTGCGTCATCGAACAGCTACGGCGACCAGTACCGCTCGACAAATGCCCGGATTGAGGAGGCTTTCTGCACAGACCGTCAGGAACAGGTTGAGAGAGGCTGGTTTACGTGCCAGAAGACCTTATTTTGGCCCTGTGTTTCGACAACAACATCGTCGACATCGAGTTCAATGGTGCACCAACGTTCAGGCCTGGAACCTACCGAATTGGCGTAGAATCTGGTTCAGTGAAGAATCACGATTTCTATTGGAACGGCGCGATGGAAGAATGCGGGTGTACAGACGTCGACGTGAACGTTTCGCCGACGCTTGCGTTCCCCAGGTGGACAGATTCGGCCGGGACAGTGTTATGATGTGGGGAGCGATCACCTGCCGTAGGAGAAGTGATTTGGTGATGATCCAGGGCAACCTGACAGCTCAACGGTACTGTGACGAAATCCTACGCCCACACCTCCTTCCAATCATTGATCGCCAGAGGGAGTTGTTTCAACAGGACAATGCCAGGCCCCACACAGCACGTCACACTAGAGACTTCCTCCAGAACCACAACACCAATGTGCTCCCCTGGCCCTCAAGATCACCGGACTTAAACCCGATCGAACATCTGTGGTATGCCCTGGACAGACGGGTGCGACGCCGTAACCCTCAGCCCCAGACACTTCAGCAACTCGCACAGGCACTACAGGCAGAGTGGGCTGCGATTGGGCAACACGAGATTCTGAGACTTATTCGTTCGATGCCGAGGCGATGCCGTGCAGTTCTTGATGCCCACGGTGGTCACACGAGGTATTGACTTCAGCGCCACCACACGTCTCCGAGTGACACCCAAACTGACTTTCCTTGAAAAGACGGATAAGTCTGCATTCCCAGTGTGTAATTTCGCTATATTTAATTAACTCATAAAGCCTACAAGATGTTTCAAAATAAACATAAAAATACAGTTGAAATTCCTATATGCGTTTCTTTTTTTGAGAGTATATCAATATATATCAGACTAATGCCCCTTCTTCACATGTGTTCCGTTTTCAATATTACTTATCCTTCTCTTCTTCCTTCGTCTTATTCTGCTCCTCTCCTCCTCCTTCTTCTCCTACTCCTCTTTTCCTCCAATTACTCATCCTCCTCTTTCTTCTTCTCCTCCTTCTCATCCCACTCCTCCTTCTCTCCCTATAACTCATCCTCCTCTTCTTCTTCTCCTCCTTCTCCTCCTTCTCATCCCACCTCCTCCTTCTCTCCCTATAACTCATCCTCCTCTTTCTTCTTCTCCTCCTTCTCATCCCACTCCTCCTTCTCTCCCTATAACTCATCCTCCTCTTTCTTCTTCTCCTCCTTCTCATCCCACTCCTCCTTCTCTCCCTATAACTCATCCTCCTCTTTCTTCTTCTCCTCCTTCTCATCCCACTCCTCCTTCTCTCCCTATAACTCATCCTCCTCTTTCTTCTCCTCCTCCTCCTCCTCCTCATCTCTCCCTCTTCCTCCTCTCTCCTTCTAACTCCTCCTCTCCTCTCTCTCTTCTCCTCCTCCTCCTCTTCTCCTCCTCCTCTCCTCCCATCCTCTCTCCTCCCTCTTAACTCATCCTCCTTTCTTCTTTCTCTCCTCCTTCCTCTCCCTTTCCTCTCCTCCCTCCTCTTTCTTCTTCTCCTCCTCCTTCTCCTCCATCCTCCTCTTCTCCTATCCTCCTTCTCCTCCTCCTCCTTCTCCTCTTCTCCTCCTTCTTCTCTCCTCTCTCCTTCTCTCCCTTTAACTCTTCCTCCTCTTTCTCCTCCTTCTCCCTCCTTCTCTCTCCCCTCCTCTTCCTCCTCTCCTCTTCTCCTCCTCCCTCTCTCATCCTCCTCCTCCTTCTCTCCTCTATAACTCCTCCTCCTCTTTCTTCTTCTCTTCCTTCTTCTCCTCATCCTCCTTCTCTCCTCCCACTCCTCCTCCTCTCTCCTCATCCTCTTCTCCTCCTTCTCCTCTTTCTTCTTCTCCCTCCTTCTCCTCCTCACCTCCTTCTCTCCCTATAACTCCTCCTCCTCTTTCTTCCTCCCTTTCTTCTCCTCCTCTCATCTCCTCCTTCTCTCCCTATAACTCCTCCTCCTCTTTCTTCTCCTCCTCCTCCCACTCCTCCTTCTCTCCCTATAACTCCTCCTCCTCTTTCTTCTCCCCCTTCTCCTCCTTCTCATCGCACTCCTCCTTCTTTCCCTATAACTCATCCTCCTCTTTCTTCTTCTCCTCCTTTTTCTCTATATATGTCCGACTGAGACAACATGGCTTTAGTACCAACTCATTTCTGAACAAAAAGAGACATACAGTGACTAGAGTTTTTAGCAAAAGTAACTTCGTGTTCAATACGTCCCCAGTGATGCTGTTTCAAGTCTGCCCTTGCTGATGTAATGTGATGCATTGGGAACAAAAGGTAACAGATTGGCAGTTCCGGCCTTGATTATCTGATAGAAACCCTGCACGCTACCAGGTCACCAGTACGATCAGCTTTCAACTGTGTTATCAAGATGAATCTATATAAGGACAGTTGTTGCACCTAACTTCCCAAACACCCACAGACTCTGGTCAGGTAAGTATCAGACCACGTAGTGACCATTACAGGTTTATTGGTGTGTGTGGCATTGTGTCTCATCTAATACAGACGAACTCTGTTTCGAAAACTTAGTTGTTTGCTTGTGGTGAGCAATTTTCTTGCTATATGACGAAGGTCAGTACATAATCGAGTCTGGACCAGACAATCCAATGCCTGGCATCAAGAGCATTGATCTACGGAATTGGTAAAGAGTGACATGCTTCAGTCAAGCATCAGTCAGTCAACGAGCATGACACCTCCATCACGTTAGTCGCCTCTTACATGTATGGGTTGCTAAAAGTCATTTCTATCCCGCATTCGCGGGTCTAAAAAATATATGCTTAACCATATATTGACATTATCATTCTTTAACACATACGTATGATAAAATCGGACCCGTACATTTGTTAGGAATAGTTTTGTTAAACAATTTTCGTGGTCTGTGAACGACAATTTTCTACCTGCCGATATTAATACGAATCTCAATGGATGTTATTCTATCAATAATTGTTGTTGTAGTATAGCTAAAGTCATTATGCTGGAGAAGATTGTGCTACTGGCAACGATTGCCTTAACCGTTTCTCAAGGTAAAGTTTTCCAGTCCTCTTATCTATTATAAGAGATTCTTTCATTTATTTAGTAAACATCATATTGATTATTTCAACGTTTAACATTGCGGAAATACCTTAAGCCTTGTTAGGAGTTAAGACTAATGGTTAAAACCCTCCGTAGAACTGATGAAACAGTTGTTCATCGCAGTGCAAACACAAGAATATTAGTATGAAAAAGGAGCGGCGAATGTTACTGAATTACGAAAGCCTAATGCTGCGAGTATGTTTTCGTTGTTTCGAGTATTTTTTCGTTGCTTCGATTATTGTCTCGTTACTTCAAGTTTCTGTAAAAAACTTAAAATTTCGAGTATTTTTTTAGTTTTTGAAAGAAACTTGGAGTAACGAGAAAATACTCGAAGCAACGAAAATTGTCGCTGAAAAAAATATTTTATGCTAGGCTACAAAAGTGGCAGTATTGGTGATATATTGATACATTTGTGATACGTTCACTACCTCTCTCATGGCTACAGCTTCTAGTGACTCCGGTCATGCTATTGCTAGGATATTGATAAAACCAACCAACTCACTCACTCGTCTGTGATCTGTTTTTCTCCCAAGTCCGAATGGTCCCTCTGGGATTCCATACAGAAGTGTGATAATAATGAGTGAGCATGGTTTTACGCCGCTTTTAGCAATATTCAAGCAACATTGTACCCATTTGGGGAATCAAACCCGGGTCTTCGGCGTGACGAGCAAACTCTTTAACCACTAAGCTACTCCACCACCTCAGTGTGGTAATAGACTAATAAACTAAAATGCTGTACATAGCAGGGCACACTCTACTTACTGACGTACAATCATTGATTGGTCAACTGTATGATGTTTCTCTTCCAGGAGTTCCCCCTCCTTCAGTGGGCGGAGTCTTTGAGGACAATAGGCCCAAAGTCGCTAAACCAGCTGTGAATCCCCACAAGGTGGTTCCAATGGGAACTATGAAAATCAAATTCGGGAACGAGTTCTAGTAAGTGGCGTACGTTATTATTACGATACGCCTTAATGATATGATGGGTTGTATTAAGGATGCAGTGAGACAACACGATACACGTGGTATTACAACTGAAAAATATGCTAACACGGTATTAACAGATCCGTAGATGCCAATATGCTGAAAAACATTAACCAATGTTCGCGAAGTGGTGTTTACATAAAGGGGCGGTGGGGTAGCCCCTAGTGGTTAAAGCGTTCGCTCGTCACGCTGAAGACCCGGGTTCGATTCCCCAAGTTGGTACAATGTGTGGAGCCCATTTCTGATGCCCCCTGCCATGATATTGCTCGAATATTGCTAAAAGCGACGTAAAACTAAACTCACTCACTGTTTACTACGAGAATGGTTGGAGGTCAGTTGGTGCTAAGCACTGATTAATCTAATTATCATTAAATGATTTAACTGATGATATAAATGGTATTATATTGTCACACGTTTGTACAATTATCCTCTGCACGTCAGTAAACCACATGAAGCCCGTGAAATATAGAACCGATTAAAACAGGTTTAATCTACTTGAAGGCATTTTTCATATCTACGGATTCTTCTGCTAACGTTCATTTTTGTTTAAGGCATGGCTAGGCACTGTAGCTGGTCACTGAATCTGAATTCTTTAAGGCTATGATATATTATTCTGGTCATGTACACAGTTATCTACGGTTATAACGAAATCACAATGGAGATGAACTTCAGTTCGTTATACGCAATTCGACTAAAAGATGCAGCTAGAGTCGAGGATCCACAACAGTTCGTTATATACTAATGTTAAATAATGGTTATTTATAAAACGCCCGTATCCACGCACGTGTACATGCTCGAAGTGCTAACATCTTATTACCCCTGTTAAACCCAAGCTGCCTCTGAGGCGCTAGAAGGTTAACAGTCATATGACTTATCCCACCGGGTACCCATTCTCTGCTGGGTGAACAGAGACAATTATTGAACAAACTCACAAACCTTGGGTGAAACTACATGTGGGGCAGGACTGATGACCTAGACTCAGGGATCAAGCTACTAAACACGGTCACCATCACCACCGTTCCTTAACTTCAACTGGTTAGTAGATTCAGGTTGGAATTGGTCTCTTTAACCCATGCTTGTCGTAAGAGGTGACTAACGGGATCGGGTCATTAGGCTCGCTGACTTGGTTGACACATGTCATCGGTTCCCAATTGTGTAGATCGATGCTCATACTGTTGATCACTGGATTGTCTGGACTAGACTCGATTGTTTACAATACCGCCGGCATATAGCTGGAATATTGCTGAGTGCTGCGTAAAACTCACTCACTCACTCAACTGATTAGTGACGTGAGCTCTATGCACAGGACCACACACCACCATGTTCCATCGGTAAGTTTTAAGCGCGCTCGGTATAGATGTAGTTCGGTGTCTATAAACCTTTCACTATAAACTATTTTCTAAGGTTCTTCTATCCCCGATACTCAACAGTTTAGGACCTAAACGAATGTTGTTAGACTCTTTACTCTTTTACTGATTGCAAAACGTATTTCCTGTGCGCACCATCAGTAGTTATGTTACTCTTCGTAGGAAACTGGTATGTATGTGGAACGTGCTTGGTGTTTATGTACGTGTCGCTAGGACCAAGGGTGTAAGTATACCCGTTAATGTGTGCACAGACGAGTTATCTTTTTTACACAAATCGTTTCAGTGATGTGCCTGCAGAATCGTTCCAGAACCTCGCCAAAGTTTTCGGACTCCTTGATAAAGATCACAATGGAGTGTTTATGCCGCAGCCAGAAGGACTGCGGGTCTTTAGTGAAACTGACACGGGTACGTCTGATAACTTCTACTGTGTTATGTTGGTGAGGACAGTGTTCATTAGGACGTTCATTTATAGGTAAACGTATTACCTCTACTGTGTTATGTTGGTATGTGAGGGCGGTGTTCATTCGGACGTTCATTTATAGGTAAACGTATTACCTCTACTGTGTTATGTTGGTATGTGAGGGCGGTGTTCATTCGGACGTTCATTTATAGGTAAACGTATTACCTCTACTGTGCTATGTTGGTATGTGAGGGCGGTGTTCATTTGGACGTTCATTTATAGGTAAACGTATTACCTCTACTGTGTTATGTTGGTATGTGAGGGCGGTGTTCATTCGGACGTTCATTTATAGGTAAACGTATTACCTCTACTACTGAGACCCCATTTACTTTCGTGTGACTTATGTAACGTATTGCATCTGCCTATAAGACCCCATCTACTTCCGTGTGACTTATGTAACGTATTTCATCTACCTATAAGACCCCATCTACTTTCGTGTGACTTATGTAACGTATTTCATCTGCTAATACGACCCCATATACTTTCGTGTGACTTATATAACGTATTGCATCTGCCAATAAGACCCCATCTACTTTTGTGTGACTTATGTAACGTATTGCATCTGCCTATAAGACCCCATCTACTTTCGTGTGACTTATGTAACGTATTGCATCTGTCTATAAGACCCCATCTACTTCCGTGTGACTTATGTAACGTATTGCATCTGTCTATAAGACCCCATCTACTTCCGTGTGACTTATGTAACGTATTGCATCTGTCTATAAGACCTTTCGTGTGACTTATGTAACGTATTGCATCCGTATAAGACCCCATATACTTCCGTGTGACTTATGTAACGTATTGCATCTGTCTATAAGACCCCATCTACTTCCATAGTGACTTATGTAACGTATTGCATCTGCCTATAAGACCCCATATACTTTCGTGTGACTTATGTAACGTATTGCATCTGCCTATAAGACCCCATATACTTTCGTGTGACTTATGTAACGTATTGCATCTGCAAATAAGACCCCATTTACTTTCATGTGACTCAAGTAAAACGTATTTCATCTGCCTATAAGACTCCATCTACTTTCGTTTGACTTATGTAACGTATTGCATCTGCCAATAAGACCCCATATACTTTCGTGTGACGTATGTAACGTATTTCATCTGCCTATAAGACCCCATATACTTCCGTGTGACTTATATGACGTATTGCATCTGCCTATAAGACCCCATCTACTTTCGTGTGACTTATGTAACGTATTGCATCTGCCTATAAGACCCCATATACTTTTGTGTGACTTATGTAACGTATTGCATCTGCCTATAAGACCCCATATACTTTCGTGTGACTTATGTAACGTATTTCATCTGCCTATAAGACCCCATTTACTTTCGTGTGACTCAAGTAAAACGTATTTCATCTGCCAATAAGACCCCATATACTTTCGTGTGACTTATGTAACGTATTTCATCTGCCTGTAAGACCCCATATACTTCCGTGTGACTTATATGACGTATTGCATCTGCCAATAAGACCCCATCTACTTTCGTGTGACCCATGTAACGTATTGCATCTGCCTATAAGACCCCATATACTTTCGTGTGACTTATGTGACGTATTTCATCTGCAAATAAGACCCCATTTACTTTCGTGTGACTCATGTAACGTATTTCATCTGCCAAAAAGACCCCATATACTTTCGTGTGACTCAAGTTAAACGTATTTCATCTGCCTATAAGACTCCATCTACTTTCGTGTGACTTATGTAACGTATTTCATCTGCCTATGAGACTCCATATACTTTCGTGTGACTTATGTAACGTATTTCATCTGCCTGTAAGACGCCATCTACTTTCGTATGACTCAAGTAAAATGTATTTCATCTGCCTATGAGACCCCATATACTTTCGTGTGACTTAGGCAAACGTATCTGCTTATAAGATCGAATTTACTTTCATGTGACTCAAGTAACGTATTGCATTTGCTTAGGTGACTCGATCAGGTAAACGTATTGCTCCTGTCTATGTCTCATCGTCTTTATTGTTTCCGTCAGTGAGATCGCATCTACTTGTATCTATATTAGGTAAACGTATTGCTCTTGTATATGAGATAACGTCTACTTGTATCTATATTAGGTAAACGTATTGCTTTTGTATATGGGATAACATCTACTTGTATCAATAGGTAAACGTATTGCTTTTGTATATGAGATAACATCTACTTGTATCTATATTAGGTAAACGTATTGCTTTTGTATATGAGAAAACATCTACTTGTATCTATATTAGGTAAACGTATTGCTTTTGTTAATGGGATAACATGTACTTGTATCTATATTAGGTAAACGTATTGCTTTTGTTAATGGGATAACATCTACTTGTATCTATATTAGGTAAACGTATTGCTTTTGTATATGAGATAACATCTACTTGTATCTATATTAGGTAAACGTATTGCTTTTGTATATGAGATAACATCTACTTGTATCTATATTAGGTAAACGTATTGCTTTTGTTAATGGGATAACATCTACTTGTATCTATATTAAGTAAACGTATTGCTTTTGTATATGAGATAACATCTACATTCATGTGCTATGTTTTGTTTCTGCTGTATGATCTCATCTACTTGCGTTAGACTTCCTTGTGTCTCATGTGCATATTGCTTCTGTCTGTCAGATGGTAATCACCTGCTCTCCCCGGGGAAATAGCAGCCAGCCCCCTCGTCAACTGGCAGGACAAGATGGCCACGGATGAGAACGGCATGGTATCTGACCAGGAATTTCTCAAGCTCATCGGTGCATTTGATCTGAATGGTAAGATACGTTGATCTGACTTGAGTGACATACTGTTGCCATTGCTCAAGGTGCACAACAGCGTGATGTCTGTTACGGGATATATCAGTGTACCTTCATCGTTTTCATATATCATAGCATGTTGCTTCAATAGTACGTCATGATTAGATCAGATGTCAGCAGAATTATTAATATTTTATCATATCGAGCGGACGTCATGAGTTTATCACTTCAGCAGCAGATCATGATAACACCACAACAATAGTAGTACGTCCCGAGTGTATGGCCAACCAAACACAATGGATATATCACTTCAACAAAACACCACTCTTACGTCATTTAAACGGTATGTCATGAGTATATCACTTCAAAAAGTACACCATGAATATATTGCTTCAATTGGAGGACATCACGTGTATCCAGCTTCAGTTGTGTATCATGAGTATATATCGCCAATAGTGATCCCTGAGTATATCACGTTTATAATGCCTTCTGGGCATATTGCATCAATAATGCATCATGAGTATATCACGTCAGCTGTGCCTCCTGAGTATATCACATCAATAGTGCCTCCTGAGTATATCACTTCAATTGTGAATAATGAGTATATCACGCCATTAGCATATCCTGAGTACATTACGTCAATATTGCCTCCTGAGTATATCACTTCTAAATCGGCTCTTGAGTATATCACTTCAATATTGCCTCCTGAGTATATCACTTCACTATTGCCTCCTGAGGATATCACTTCAATATTGCCTCCTGAGTATATCACTCAATCTTGCCTCCTGAGTATAGCACTTCAATAGTAGCTCCTGAATATATCATGTCAATATTGCCTCCTGAGGATTTTACTTCAATATTGCCTCCTGAGTATATCGGGGCGGTGGGGTAGCCTAGTGGTTAAAGCGTTGGCTCGTCACATCGTAGTCATATCCCTTCAACAAAACGTCATGATTTATTGGGCAATTTGTAAAGTCTGTAGATGTAAACTACCGGGCAAAAGAAAGTTATCACTTTAAGGTAATTGTTTAAAAACCCAGCTGGTACAGGTTTGAACTCAAGCAGAAATCATTCGCCAAAAAGCAACATGGTCCGGATAGCAACATGTCCGAAAACCTCGTACGAATCGTTCATTTTTCAAAACGTGAAAAACGAATATGCCAAGACTTACGCAAGCGCAACGAGACAGGGCGATCGGTATGGCCAATGGGGGCTTCACAACGTCAGCTGGCAAGAACGTTCAACAGCAGCCAGGTCGCCACCAGCAATGTCACAAGCCGTTACCAGCAAACAGGCCAGACCCAAGACCAAGAGTCACGACACCGGCCGAAGACCGCTACATCCGGCAGATCAACCTCCGGAAGAGATTCGTGACGGCGACTGCACTAAGACGCCATCAGTAGATGAACAGTCCTTCTACGACTTGTATGGTTGCTTCACGAGCCTACCGCCCCTTCCATGGAATGGCCTTGACCCGTCTACAACGTCAACGCAGACTGCAATGGGCAAGAACTGTACGTCGGTGACAGCAACGTGACTGGGAGAGAGTGCTCTTTACTGATGAAAGTCTGTCCAGTCTAACAGAGTTCGGGTCTTTTTGACGTAGAGGACAGCGACTGTCTGTAAACTGCGTTCAAGAAGTTCATCCGTTCGATGGAGGAGACGTCATGGTATGGGGTGGCATTTGTGACCAGTGAACAAGACTGGTTATCATCCGAGGAAATCTTAATATCCATCGATACATGGATGAAGTGTTGAGAGCTTTCACTACGACAGACAGGAGGAGCCATCTTGCAAGGCCTCACGCCGGCAGAATACCGCACAACGTTAACGTCAACGTATTGCCTTGGCCAGCGCGTTCTCCAAACATGAACCCCATTGAACATCTCTGGGACCATCGTGATCGTCAGCTGAAACAGCGTGAACCATTTCCAGCGAACCGACAGGAACTTGAACAGACTCTCTTGGACTTATGGAACATAATTCTTGCTGACATCATCCACCGACGGCGTCAATGAAGAGACGTGTTCTAGCGTGAATGGATGCATAGGGCGGTCACACTCGCTATTGATGAAGTGTCCTTCTGACACCTGTCTAAATATGTGACTCTTTATCCACTTTTTCAATGATTTGTGTATTTTCTCTATTTTGACCCCTTGACTCTTTGTTAATGAATTGCGGCAAATTCAAGACCAGCATTACAATCGATTTTCAGCCAAATTATTGGAAAATGATTTCTGTTTGTAAGATACGTCTTTGTTTCTATTATCTGGTAAAGTTAAGCGGTGATAACTTTTTGCCCTGTAGTTTATCTACAGACTGATCAATACCAGAAAATGAATATAGATAACGCACATGGATATCTGCTTCGAATTCTTGCTTTACCTTGATTAACCTTTACTATTATTTTTCAGGTGATGGTAAAGCTACCTTCCCGGAGGTAGTCATATACACGGCGGTAGGTATCTAGCTATTACTTACAGTATTATTTTTTACATTGCAACAACCATTATATTATTTTGTATTACCTTGTGCGTATATGTGAGGGGTTTTGTGTGGGGCACTCTGATCTTGTGTGAGGGTGTGTGCTTGTCTGTGAGGGGTGGGATGGGAGTTTTGAGTGTGTGTCTGTGTGTGTGTGCTGAGTGTGTTTGTGTGTTGGGGGGGGGTTCTAGCAGAATAATCAGGCCGCTCAAACTGGTAAAACAATAACTCCTAGCTCACATTGTTGTACAATAAGACCACCTGAATGTGTCCTTCTGAAGAGAGGTGTCCAAATAATACAGTTATTTATACTTATTAAAAAGTATAATTGAAAACCTTTTGTTTGAAAAGATATTTGGGATCCAAAACAAAAAGAAATATTATTGCTTCTGTAAATCAAGTGGAATCACCTCGGCCAGCAAACACGAGTATATGCTTCCTGTTGTCGGAGCTCCACAGCAGTTTATAACACAGGACTGTCATCCGGATTAATGCAATAACAGAGCCCACGGTTCGTGGTTAAATCCCTAGTATATCATGACCCCTGCCATCTGCCATCTGAAGCGTCTTTCCTGTCACATCTTGATATAAAAATGTAAACATTTTAACGGATACAGTATGTTTGTTCCAGGGAAAACCTCACACACCCGGACAAGTGTAAGATTGCACCACGCGGAACAGATCTCCGGATACTTGAAATAAATCATGAGAAACGTCATTAACCATGTTTTCTGTTCCTTTTACTGACACGTGCCCCATTCCTTAATTTTAAGACAAATGTCTCGATGGGACACAGATGCATATTGATGATCTGGAAAGTGATTCTGTTTTGAAACGCACTTGTGGTATAAATCACTATCATTACAACGTGTCAATGCTTGATACTATTGGTATATGAAAACGTGTAAGTATCTTTACCTAAACATTGCTAATATACAATAAAGAAGTTGATCATCCATAAAGATTTGTCATTCCTTTGTTATCTTGGTAAAAAGGGCATGCCTGATTGTCCTTGGATGGTGAAACCAAAGACTGGAGCTCTTGGAATATTGCTCGACATGAAGGGAAAGTTGGCATCTTCCCTCCGTCGTACTGCCTTCTGGAGAGATTTTGTCACACAGGGAGTTAGAGAATATTCCGAAGTCTTTTTAAAATATATATAAGGGGAGTTAACTCTTGCCTGTTAACTCACATCAGAACCTATCAGCACCATTTAACTGCTGGTTTCCCTTGCTCAGCCTCCACTCCTGTTGGTCTTATATATGAACTCTGCCACATAGCTCTCTCTCTCTCTCTCTCTCTCTCTCTCTCTCTCTCTCTCTCTCTCTCTCTCTCTCTCTCTCTCTCTCTCTCTCTCTCTCTCTCTCTCTCTCTCTCTCTCTCTCTCTCTCTCTCTCTCTCTCTCTCTCTCTCTCTCTCTCTCTCTACAATATATCTAAAAGCGGCGTAAAGACCACACTCACTCACCCTACAATGTGTCACCATCATAATATGCTCACCTAATCAAGTATTTGACAGAGTTTACCATGCTCTTAACTGGGACCCTTTAATACAATAGAAACTCTACTTTACTCATCCCTTCGTGTATACGTACATCCTCTGCTATTAGAATTATATATTAAATTAGAGCTGTTGTGCCGTCTCACTGCTTCCAATACACTCGGATTGATAACTGTTGTACAGTCACACTGCTTCACATACACTTGGATTCATGTCTGTTGTACAGTCACATTGCTTCACATACACTTGGATTGATAACTGTTGTACAGTCACATTGCTTCATGTCTTGAAATGTGTCATCCATTCACATTTTGAAATATTACTTTTAGGATTTGTTCTCTTTCTAAATGAACGAATTTGTTTCCAGAACATAGCAGGATTGTGAATAGAATCATTCAATCTGTTCAATCTTTGATTACGGAGGTTAGATTTGAATTTTCTACATGAAGCTTTGTATTTGTTTCTCATTTTACAAAAATAATTTCTGTTTCTCTCTGAGCGTCTACACCGAAAACTTCTAAGTGCTTTGCGCGCGTCTCGTCGCGCAGATTTACACTCGTCACTTAAGGGGTTTTATAGTTTTGCTTAAACGGCTTAGTCTTTTTCTTCATACAATCTGCTGAATCTAATATGACATGGACAAACTCATCTAAAGCTCCGTTTAGATCGAACTCAAGTTTCGATAAGAGACGGTCGTTATAAAATGAAGTCTTACTTTTCAAGTTATCTAAAAATATTTCGCAACAGGCGTCGTTCCAAACAATCTTTTCTTTATAATCATCAATATGGTTTGTATCACTTGAGTTTTTCATATTTGGAAATTGACATGTCAGTTCTAATGGTAAATGATCAGAGTCTACTCTGTCTCCAATATTCAACAAGTTAATAAATTGGAAAAAGTCTGGTGAACCAATAAAATAGTCATTGACACTTGATCCCTGTTGCCCATGAAACGTATATTCCCCTTGTGAGTCTCCATACACTCTACCGTTCGTTATGAACAGGTTGAAGGTATAGCATAAATCTAATAACAGATTACCAAAATTATTAACAACAGTGTCGTGAGAATTACGATCATCAATAGGATAGTGGTCATCATCAGCGCTCGCTTGGAATATATGATTCCTATTATCATCATCAAGACTAGGAGACACATTGTTCTGTTTACCTGTACGGGCATTCAGATCACCACAGATAACAGTGTGACATTCAGCACAGTCATGGAGATTCGATAGCAGATATTGCTCCAGTTGTTCAATATTACATTTGTGATTCATATACTTATAGTACGCTGAACCAATAGGAGGAATATAAGTGCACATCAAATTCATATCTTTGTCAAGTGAAAACAATTCCTTTGAGAATTTGATACAAATGAAATTATCAATATCAGATGTTTATTGTCTATAATTATTCCTAAGCGAATGGTGGATGCAAACGCAAACACCTCCTGAGAGTCTACCGTGATCTGACAATTTGATAGCAGGGCTATAAAACATGTCATAGCCATCCAACCAACTGTAAGAGATATCGGTTACAAAAGTCTCAATCAAACATATGACGTGAAATTTACGAAGATAATCGATAAAACTGATATCATCAATCTTTTCAGTCAACCCATTTATGTTCCAGCACAAAAAGTCTGTTTTCTCACTGTCAGTTTCAATCCGAGTAGGCGAAAGACGATTATCACCGGTGTCAGTGCTAAGAGGACCCTGTGATATAAAGTCCGGGCCTTGGCCGCCGTCCTATTCAGATACAGTACTTGCAAGTGGTTGACGGTCGTCACGATCAGTACGTGGCTGACGTCTACTTTGTGTAATCCTCATATGGGGGAGACTGAGTGTGCGCACGTTCACTCGGTACCACTACAAGTTCACCGTTCTTGAAGTAACCAAACTGGCCAGTTTCTTTCAGATCATGCAGTTGTTTACGTTGGCGTGTAGTCAGATCACTGGAGATACCGTATCCATAACTGCTGTACAGTCACACTGCTTCACATACACTTGGATTGATAACTGTTGTACAGTCACACTGCTTCACATACACTTGGATTGATAACTGTTGTACAGTCACATTGCTTCACATACACTTGGATTGATAACTGTTGTACAGTCACACTGCTTCACATACACTTGGATTGATAACTGCTGTAGAGACACACTGCTTCACATACACTTGGATTGATAACGGTTGTACAGTCACACTGCTTCACATACACTTGGATGGATAAATGCTGCTCAGTCACATTGCTTCACATACACTTGGATCGATAAATGCTGCTCAGTCACATTGCTTCACATACACTTGGATCGATAACTGCTGTACAGTCACACTGCTTCACATACACTTGGATCGATAACTGCTGCTCAGTCACATTGCTTCACATACACTTGGATTGATAACTGTTGTAACGTCACATTGCTTCACATACACTTGGATTGATAACTGTTGTACAGTCACACTGCTTCACATACACTTGGATTGATAACTGTTGTACAGTCACATTGCTTCACATACACTTGGATTGATAACTGTTGTACAGTCACACTGCTTCACATACACTTGGATTGATAACTGTTGTACAGTCACACTGCTTCACATACACTTGGATTGATAACTGTTGTACAGTCATACTGCTTTCACATACACTTGGATTGATAACTGTTGTACAGTCACATTGCTTCACATACACTTGGATTGATAACTGTTGTACAGTCACACTGCTTCACATACACTTGGATTGATAACTGTTGTACAGTCACATTGCTTCACATACACTTGGATTGATAACTGCTGTACAGACACACTGCTTCACATACACTTGGATTGATAACTGTTGTACAGTCACACTGCTTCACATACACTTAGATTGATAACTGTTGTACAGTCACACTGCTTCACATACACTTGGATTGATAACTGTTGTACAGTGACACTGCTTCGCATACACTTGGATCGATAACTGTTGTAACCTCACATTGCTTCACATACACTTGGATTGATAATTGTTGTACAGTCACATTGCTTCACATACACTTGGATTGATAACTGTTGTACAGTCACATTGCTTCACATACACTTGGATTGATAACTGTTGTACAGTCACATTGCTTCACATACACTTGGATCGATAACTGTTGAACTGTCACACTGCTTCACATACACTTGGATTGATAACTGCTGTAGAGACACACTGCTTCACATACACTTGGATTGATAACTGTTGTACAGTCACACTGCTTCACATACACTTAGATTGATAACTGTTGTACAGTCACACTGCTTCACATACACTTGGATTGATAACTGTTGTACAGTCACACTGCTTCACATACACTTAGATTGATAACTGTTGTACAGTCACACTGCTTCACATACACTTGGATTGATAACTGCTGTAGAGACACACTGCTTCACATACACTTGGATTGATAACTGTTGTACAGTCACATTGCTTCACATACACTTGGATTGATAACTGTTGTACAGTCACATTGCTTCACATACACTTGGATTGATAACTGTTGTACAGTCACACTGCTTCACATACACTTGGATTGATAACTGTTGTACAGTCACACTGCTTCACATACACTTGGATTGATAACTGTTGTAACGTCACATTGCTTCACATACACTTGGATTGATAACTGCTGTACAGTCACACTGCTTCACATACACTTGGGTTGATCACTGCTGTACAGTCACATTGCTTCACATACACTTAGATTGATAACTGTTGTACAGTCACATTGCTTCACATACACTTGGATTGATAACTGTTGTACAGTCACACTGCTTCACATACACTTGGATTGATAACTGCTGTACAGACACATTGCTTCACATACACTTGGATTGATAACTGTTGTAACGTCACATTGCTTCACATACACTTGGATTGATAACTGTTGTACAGTCACATTGCTTCACATACACTTAGATTGATAACTGCTGTACAGTCACACTGCTTCACATACACTTGGATTGATAACTGCTGTAGAGACACACTGCTTCACATACACTTGGATTGAAAACGGTTGTACAGTCACACTGCTTCACATACACTTGGATTGATAAATGCTGCTCAGTCACATTGCTTCACATACACTTGGATTGATAACTGTTGTACAGTCACATTGCTTCACATACACTTAGATTGATAACTGCTGTACAGTCACACTGCTTCACATACACTTGGATTGATAACTGCTGTAGAGACACATTGCTTCACATACACTTGGATTGATAACTGTTGTACAGTCACATTGCTTCACATACACTTGGATTGATAAATGCTGCTCAGTCACATTGCTTCACATACACTTGGATTGATAACTGCTGCTCAGTCACATTGCTTCACATACACTTGGATCGATAAATGCTGCTCAGTCACATTGCTTCACATACACTTGGATTGATAAATGCTGCTCAGTCACATTGCTTCACATACACTTGG